CAACCAGTTCTTTGATAGGAACTGATCTGTGCCTACCAGTTCTTTGAAAGGAACTGATCTGTCCAACCAGTTCTTTGATAGGAACTGATCTGTTCAACCAGTTCTTTGATAGAAACTGATCTGTAACTAGGGGTGGGAAGTTACCGTTCCCAGACCGTTCCTGGGAACGGTAACGGTAACGAAAAAGTTCCCAGTCACCGGAAACGGTAACGCCTCGTTCGCAGTTACCCGAGAACGCAGGTAACGGTCATGGAACTACCTAGCATCATCAATCTCATAGCCTTGGTCCTCACGAACAACTATTGGGGGTACCCTTGTGTCGACAAGCCCACTATTGGAGATACCGTTGGATCCTTAAATGATAGTATTAGCAAATACCTTTGGCTCATCAAGTGCTCGTATAGCTGGGTACACTCAGCCCAACCAGTGCAACTATTACGTGGTACCGTGCGTTCAACCAATGCAAAATTTGCACCAAACCGTTGTGCCGTCAGGATTAATTGCCAGGAAGGGGGTATCCTTGGCCCAACCACCGCAAAAAGTGGCGCGGTAACGTGGGCACAATCTATGCAAATTTAGCACCGAACTGTCGTGCCACCAGGTTGAATTGCCAGAAAGGGGGGGGGGGGGTATCCTTGACCCAACCACCACAAAAAGTGGCGCGGTAATGTGGGCCCAACCTATGCAAATTTTGCGCCGAACCTTCATGCCATTAGGTTCAATTGCCAGGAAGGAGAGTAGCCTTGGTCCAACCACTGCCAGAGTTACGCGGCAGCCTTTGCCCAAAAAGTGCAAGTGTCGCGTGGTACTCTTGCCACAACAATTACTGGTGTTGCCAGTATCCTTGGCCCCTGAAGTCTTACTACTGGGGGGGAGGGGCATCCTGAAGTCAAAGTATTGGGAGGTACTTTTCGGTCCTCCAGGAGGACCCGAGTATATCCCGTATTGCTAGCACTTGGTGGACCAAGGGTAACCCAGAAACGTAACGGTAACTTCCCACCCCTAGGTGTGAATGCTGAGAGAAGACTTATACGCACACACACCAACACCCAACCCAACCCACACAAAACCCATCCCAAATCCACACCCAGTTCTCGAAAGAGAACTGGTCACTTTACCCAGTTCTTGAAAAAGAACTGGTCACTTGGGCCAGTTCTTGAAAAAGAACTGGTCACTTGGGCCAGTTCTTGAAAAAGAACTGGTCACATTACCCAGTTCTTGAAAAAGAACTGGTCACTTTACCCAGTTCTTGAAAAAGAACTGATTACTTTTACCCAGTTCTTCAAAAAGAACTGGTCACAATAAGCAGTTCTCGAAAAAGAACTCATCACTTTATCCAGTTCTCGAAAAAGAACTGATCACTTTATCCAGTTCTTGAAAAAGAACTGGTCACAATAAGCAGTTCTCGAAAAAGAACTGGTCATTTTACCAAGTTCTTCGCCAAGAACTGGTCACGGTAGCCAGTTCTTGAAAAAGAACCGGACGCTTAATCCAGTTCTTCGAAAAAGAACTGGTTGCAATAACCAGTTCTCGAAAAAGAACTGCCGGGGGTGTACAGTTCTTAGAAAAGAACTGCCGGGTGCACACAGTTCTCGTCAAAGAGCTGGTCACTTGAAACCAGTTCTGGAAAAAGAACTGGTCACTATACCCAGTTCTTCGAAAATATACAGTTCATAGAACTGGGAACTGTCCTAGGTCTA